GGGGGCAATGCATCTGCTCCCCCCGCCCCAGAACACACGCAGCGACTGAGAGCGCGCCTCGGTTAGCTTCCAGAGAACTGCAACTCATCCGGCCAACAGCTACGTGGCCTTTCTGTTACCAGAGACGAGCCAGCAAGTAATTTGTCAATCATTGCAAAGGTAGACCAGCAAAGAGCTGGAAAGAGGTACCGACTTCCCGTGACTTCTCCCATTTGTGCCTTGGAGCACCTTCCCCAAAACGTTTCTGAAATAAGGCTTCTTCTGTACCAAGCACTGCGCTGTACGGGAGAAGTAAATGTTCGCTAAAATTTATTTTAAGTGATTAAAAAAAAGTAAAAAGATTTAAAAGTCTTGCAAGAATCACTGAATTGTGAAGTGCCTCCCTCTTCCTCTGCCAAAAATGCCACCTGAATCATTTCAGAAGTCTTACGATTCGAAAGGAAGTTGCCATGGTTATTTTGGACTGAGTTTAGCTTATCGGTACGCAGCTTTGACAGTGTTTCCATAGATCAGCCCCACTCTAAAGAGCTCCTAGGACTATGGGGACAAGCTTTAAATTATTTTTCTTGTTTCTCATTGGAGCAGGTTTTTTGTTGTCATAACCCCTTTGAAGCAAACCAAACGATAATCAGCATTTGATCTTGACTTGTGCAAACTCTGCTTAGCAAGCCTCTTCTGGGTCTACCATACACCATCATCGGTTGAGATGATGCAAGAGATATCCACCTGCTGCACGAGCCTGGCTCCACCGGGAATAAATGTATTGCAGTGGCTCATGCAGATACCACGTGGACGTACCGCAATGCCTTAACGCCACCTTAGAGCCGGGAGAAGTGAGGCAACAAAGTCCTAAGAACAAGTGTTGCAACATGGAAGAGCTGTCAAAACACACCAGTGCTTAGACCTAACAAAACTGACAACCCTGATTTAAAAAGTGCTTTGACAGTCAGGAAAAATTCCTAAACACACTAAAAACTGATCCGCTAGCAACGCACGTTTCGGAAGCCAGGCAAAGTAACTTTCCCGTGAGTATAGATGTCCTCATCTGCGCCCTGGTTTATATGCTTCACCAAGTTTTTCTCAAACAGGAGGGGGTGGTAAGCTCCCATGGTACAGGCACGGTCATGAAACTTCTGGTAATAGTGGCAAATGTCCGTCTGCCGTTTGGAAGGGAGAAATTCGTACACGTGCACTTCGTCACAGAGCGTCATCATGATCACGATGCCTAGGGAGGGAAAGAAAGCAGACATCCCCGTGTCAAACCAGAGAACCGATTAAACATTGCAGCGAGACAGCAAGGAGCATTCAGCTCCAAGGGGAAGGGTTTCCTTTCTGAACGTTCAGACAAGAGGGGGAGAAAACATGTCCAGCCTGATGGGGCTGTTCTCTGAGGCCCTCTCTTGCAAAGCCTACGATTGACTTGATTACAGCAGATTGCTTACAGCCACAGCCAGGCCAAAAGGCCCGTTTTTAAGAGCGCTGCCGTTCTCCGTGACCTTCAGGGAAACTTGGGCGTCTGCCAGCCATGCGCTACAATTAGCCGATCCAAACAGCCCATCTCAAACCCGCTTGGGTAAGCGGCGATGAGACCTTTTCCCCACCTGCCTGTTGTGAGTGCAGGGGACATAACAGCGACTGTGCTTGGGGACGGCTGACGGAGACGGAACAGCCCCTGCTCCTCAGGCTCCCCCAGGTCCCCCGCAGCAGAGCAGCGCTGCCCTCCTGTCTCTCCCGACAGGCAGACCCACCACTTGAGGACATTCATGCCAGTGCTGGGCACGGACCTGTCAACCTTCTGGCCAGGCCAGAAGTAAACCAAAGTTATTGGCTACTTTTCTTCCAAAGGTAAGAAATAGCAAATATTCTTGCTGTTACTAGGGAACCAGAACCAACATATACTATCACAGAAAATTCATGCAGTGTCTGAGAACACCAGGGACCACGCAGGATCAGAGGAACACAGTCTACAAGACATTAGAAGAACCCACACGCAAAACCACTTGTTTAACTAACGTGCATTTTATCATCCACCTTTTCACACGAGAATTTTTATCCACGCTTAGGTCTTCCAGGAAACCCAGAGCTGCAAACTGGAACTCGTCTGTGCCCCCGAGCCTGGCGAGGTGACTTGTGTTACAAAGCAGGTAACCCGGCCCGACGTTAAGCCACAGAGGAATTTGCATCTGACGCGGCCCAGTGCCTGCCGTCAAGCCCCTAAACTCCACTTAACAAGAATTTTGCTGCTGAAGTCATTGGCTATGCTGCTACGCAGCTGTTCTGCACGTACCCCAGCAATGGTGTAACAGGTTGCTGGGCAAGAACAAGATTGCGGAAAAAAACTAGAGGCTGGATTGGCAAAAATAAGAAGCGACTCTGTTTACACGGACACAGAAGGGCGCCGGTGCCCCAGCAGTGATGGGAGCAGAGGAGGGGTGAAGCACAGCAGTCGGACATCCACCTGGCAAACAAAACCATATGTCTATGCTGTGACTTCAAATATATGTGAACTTCCTGAGAAGTTCACTCCTTTTCAGTCAGATGATCATGAGATCTGCTCTCCAATAAGAAGGAAAAGCTTTGCGACAGCAGAATGTAAAATGAGCCTCTTTGCCGAGAGGCTGGATTTTGGATGCTGACGAACGAGATGTTAGCGTAGTGAATAAGGGGGAACGTCACTCAACTTTTCAGGACAACTATTCACCCTGACCACCCCCAACGCCCCATTAAGTCTTTAGCTATATATATTTTTTCCATATGTCTATATTTCCATATTTTATATATATTT